GAAAGCCTGAGGCTGATATTATTATTACTAGGAAGGAGATAGCAACCAGAGCCACTGTTACCCTCGGACTATGCTCCAACAGCGAGTAGCGGTCAGCTTGAGCTTGGATATTAAGCTGACAAGTTAGAAAAAAAAAAAAAGGCAAGACACAATCTCTTCATTTTACAGAAAGATCAAGAGACATTTCCATAAGAAGCCTGGGACAGAGCCAGGATGAGATCCAAATTTCTGCAGCCCTAGAGCACCAGGTCGTGCCAGCTCTCCAGGAAGCGCTCCCCAGGGAGGAAAAAGATGGTTATGATGCTTGGAAGGACACGTGTAGTTGTGGGAGTCAGCTGTATTATTCGATGCCAAGACACACACTGCAAGTATGTCTCCTCAGACTTGTTTTCAGGCTATTGTATTGGTTTGTTATTTTTCAGGGGAGGATGGGCTGAGGGTGGGACAAAGAAAACATGACTTTTTTCTCCCCCTTTCTTCCTAATCCTCATTCCGAAGGCTTTCTCCTAGCTCCGAGACATCTTTTCCCAGCAAATATAAAGAAAACAAAAATCCTTTCATAACCTTGCTCATTTTTACGGTCAAACTCAAAAGCATAAGGATGTGAAGTATCTCCCTCTTCCCCAGACTCCTAGTTTCTCTGCTGTCCCAGACCATCAGATTTTTACCTGGTGCAAACCACTGCCATCTCAAAGCACACACGTGAGCGGCAGTCCTGAGGTACCAACATTTCTGTAGTGCTTTTAGCTTGGGAAAAGAAACAGAAAGAGCAAAAATCCTCCCAACAGGGTACGCAAGAAAGACGATGCTGTTTCAAGCAGCGATAAACAGCCTCCTTCCTACTCACCTTTATGTACCATCAAATTACTCCATCCATGAGCTTTTTGGGGTCCCCAGGTTTAAAGTCTGGGACTGATGAGCCTAAGTGTCTCCTCCGATGCCTTCTGTGGCTTCTCTTCCCCTCGCACCTTATCAGATCACATCCTCTAGACCAACGTCAAATCAGTACTCAGAACTGAGCATTTACCGCGTCCCACGAAAAACACTACCTTAGTATTACACTCTTCAAATAAAATCTGATCTTGCTTTGGAAACATGGGTGTTTTCAGCTGCGAGTTTGCCAGACACTTGAAATGAGGCATTTTCTGGGCGAGCCATAGGGAAATGCCCTTAACAGCAGCAAACAAAACCCAAGAGCAGTATTTCCCACTAACCGCAGCATGCATTCATTAGGCTGCCACACACCACCTGCTTCCTCCAAGTCTTTCAGTGGAAGGATTTCCTGGATATCTTGTAAAAACCTTGTATATTTTTTTAAATTCGTCTTCTCCTCATCACCCACATTTTTTTCCAGCCAAGTCCACGCTCGCATGCTGCAATCAGCAATTGCAAGCGAGTGCATCTTTCTTCCCAGCTGGAAGCGGGGAGATGCCGCAGTGGGGAAGGCAGCAAGTGCTCCCGATTTAGGCAACTTCAGCTAAATGCCCTTTTGAAAGAAGGATGAAAGGAAAGGAGGGGAGATTAGCGGGTTTTTTTCCCTTCACTCCATGCTAAAAATTTCAGAATGTAAATTATCTTGCAGTTGGGTAAAAGGGAAGCATTCACTGCTTTCCCCACTCATTTTCCGCTGTGAAAAATGCTGAAATTTTCAAACTGCAACACATTTTGAAGCAGCTCTTCTTGTTTCCCTTCCAAGTCCATGCTAAATAATCCCTTCGTGCCGCATCGCAAGCGGCGCGTTTGGGCAAGGACACACCGTTCAGGCAGTCTCCCTCCCAACTCCGACCCACTTTGCTACCTTAGTCTCCCCTCCAGCTCCACTTCCCATCATAAGGGGCAGGTGCTGGTGCTGGGCAAGGCTAAGCAACAGCTGCTTTTGCTTGAGAAAAATTGATTTCTCTCTCCCAGGGTGTCTCGCCATCCACACAGCGACTCTTTTCGCAGCACTCTACAAATCCGAGGTGAAAGACATCGCAGAAACGTTACCAACTTATTATTGCAAGCATTTCTTTTCTTTTCTCCTCCCTACAACTTCACATGCTTGTTTGACCCCAATCACATTCTCAGCCTTGCTTTTTTAACCAATATTTAAATTATTTATGTGCCCAGTCATTTTAATGCCCTTAATATCTAGCTACAAGACAACGATACATCTGCAGAAAAATACGCATCGATGCTGTCACTGGTAAACAAGCGACTGCTGTTCCTCATATGTGACAGCAAAACACATCTTCTCCAAAGGCCGCCGCGAGTCAGTGGCAGAAGGTGTCACGGCGGATTAGCAGAAACGCGTTCCTACACACACACAGACGTCCCCCTTCATTAAAATGCTGAAAGGGGAGATTTCAGATTGATTTCTTGAATGCCATCAAGCTAAAGGCGTCCTTGACCTTGTCATAAAATCTATTCTCCATTCGGGCATTTGGTTCCTTGACAACTTGAGAGTGAATTTAATCGCCAGACAGCATGGCACTGGAAGGACACACGGTGTTTCGGGACGCAGAGCAAACGCAAGGTGAATGCAGTCAGACGCCGTAGGGAGTAACGTATGCTTTGACATCCCAAATCGTCGTCTTTGGCCTTAATGCCTCACTTACGCCAGTGCCATCTCCACATCATTTGAAAACCTTGAATAAAAAATAATTATCTTGCCTTAGCAGGAACGCACTGATGTTGATGTGCGAGCTCTGGTTCTTCCCTCAATCCCAGAAGGACTGGAAGCTAGAGAAGAGTTACTGTACCTAGTGTTAACCTCATCTTAAACACTGGCCTTTTGGAGACATTTTATGCTCTGGTGTCTGATTACCAAAGTACTTCAAGCTCCTGTGCCATCAAAAGGCCAGGACATTCATTTTACAATCTAATGAGCATGGATTGTGCTGCTCCAAAAATTGCATGGGCCGTTCCAAACGTATTCCAGCACCTATAGAAACTACCATTCATTTGCTAGATCAGTCCTTAATAATAATCTATTTATTTCTCCATAAATGCAACCATTCTGTTGCCAAAAAAATAAAGAGCTCACAGACAAACCCAACACTGATTTTTCTCCAAATACAATCCGTCCTAGCAGTCTTGCTCACCTGAATAATCTTGCACCACAAAGGTATGGGCTAACAATTCATGCTTCTGATTCAGTTTCCAGCTTTCTTCTCTTCCATTTAAACAAACATTTATACATATACATAAAGATTTAAAACTGTAAACATTTTTAATCAGGCTGAACCCTGCAACTGAGGGTTTCCACTTCTGACAATGGAAATCAATGGGAAATTAAGATAAACGTACTCATTTCTGTCACAAAGTCATCTGACTTTGTGATCTTTGTGGCTCAGGGGTGTAAAGTCCATCTTACTTTATATTTACCCACAAGCTGCACTCAGGAACAGGGAGAAAAAGCAGCAACATGCTCAGAGACACAGAAGGTCGGTCTGAGAGTCAGGGTGAGCAGCAGTCCTCCGTCCTCAATGATGAGGCCGTACTTCTCCCAACAGCATCAAAGAAAAAGAAAGATTTTAAAAGTTGCTTGTGTCAAACAGGTCTTATAAACCAAAATACCGTGAAGTCTTTCTACCAGGTTTCTACCTTTTCTAGATGTGTTGCCAGGAAGCCATTGCAAACACGGTCTAATAAACTGTTAACCATAGCATCCCGTGTGCTAAGAAAATAGGAATCCACCACCGCATCTGGTCCCTGTGCCCGACATGCTTCCAAAAAGGTTCAACAGCCCGTTAAAGGGGGTCACCTTTGCAGAGAGGAAGGTCCATCTGGCTGCAGGCAGCAAGTGCTTCCTGGCAATATTTCAGTTTGCAAATAGACAGCTACAGGAAGGCACCAGAAATGTTGAGAATGATTTAACTTATGTTTTTCGGTGCTACATAAGGGCTATTTTTAACTCTGACCGCCTTTACTATCATCTCCCTCTTGTTACGGACAGATAAAAGAGCACATTTGTCCATGAAGCTGTAAATCACTACATCCATGCTCCAGCCCTGCTGCCTTTCCACTTCATACAGGTAAAGCTGCTCAGCCCCAGCAGACGACTTCAGCTGCGATGCCCATCCGCACTGGAAGAGCTGTGCTAGCTCTGCACCCACCAGAAAGGAGGGGACCGCGTGTCTCACCAGGGTTTCAGGCTCCCATCCCAGCTCTCTCACTGATCTGCTGGGTGACCATCAGCACATCACCGTACTTTTCTGTGCTTTGGTGGACACCCAGAAAGAGATGTAGATGTAGAGCGATGGAAGGTAACAAGCAAAGCTTTGACTTCAACATCTCTGACCTCTCTCTTTGGCTGTCAACAAGTCCTGTTGTTTGGTGATTCAATAGAGTAAACCCCATTGTCAAGTCTTTTAGACTTTATTAACTGCCTTTTTGGAAGACGTTTAAATGGCCTAAAGCTACTGCGGAAATTAGATCTTGTTTTCTTTAAGACAAATATACAAAGGGAGGGAAAGCAAAGACAGAAACACAGCTTCCATCCCCTTCCTAACTCCACTGCTGAGGAGCAGGAACCCAGCATTGAGGGCCTTTTAGCCACCTGGGAAATTTAATTTACTTTCTTTTTTTAACGTTTCAGGCTGTTCAAGGCACTGCTAATTAATATCTCCTTCAGTTCCAGGCTGCCTGCAAGCTCCACAGTTTTGAACGCCTAAAACTGGAGGCTCTTGAAAATATGACGGAAGATGCCAGGAAAGAGGAGGTGAACCTGAACCCCACAGGTGAGCAGCCCAACGCGAGGAGGTCTTCTTATCAGAGGAATCTGCCCTTATGATGGGCAACAGCTTCAAAGCAGAGCTGCTCTTATCTTACCACTAATACCAAACCAGCAAGTGGACAAACCCAGTTTCTAGTTAGGCTGTCTCTGGGCAGTTTAGATCCAGCTCTTGCTTAGTCATGATTAGCTGTAGCAGTCAGTAGTAAAAAGTTCACTACTTCTACAGTTTATTGCCTCTGAGCACTTCCTTTGAGTGTCCTTTCCTTAACATCTCATTTTGTTTTTATGAGGGCAAAGAACATCATAGCATCTGGAAGCATTAAAAATAAATAAAATAAAAAAAAAAAAAAAAAAGGAGGTGAGCACTGCTACATCCCCTCCTGCTCCTATGTACTCCTTGGAGCCGGAGAGGTCCTTTGGCTTGTGTTTGAGCAGCCCTAAGCACAAGGGGATTTCCAGTCCGTGATGGGGGCTTCTGCATGGAGCACCAGGTCTGGAATAAGTGGTCGCAGTGGAGGTTAGTTTTCTTCTTCTCCCCTCATTACAAAGCTTTTCTATACATGTCCCTAAAATTAAGGTTCTGAGCTGATTTCTGCGATCCGACCTTTGAGATCCCACTCAGTGAATTACCACTGAGTTTCCTACAGCCTTAAAGTTGCGTGGGATTTCCAGCTGAACTGCTCATAGCCTACGGAAAGGCAACTGGAGCGGTAACCGTGACTGCTGCTCCACAGCAGAAAAGCAAAGTGGGGAGGAAGAAAGACTAAACACAAATTGGAAAAAATCTTGTTTTGGTTTGTTAGACTCAGAGGAATTTAAGACAAAGCCTTTAGAGATTAGCAAAGACAAGTGCAGGGGGGTTAAATGCCTGCACCAATACAGCACCTGAAGGAAAGAGAAGCCAACAGCTGGTTAAGCAGTTCGACTGGGCTCAGCCGGGATGAGGCGATCCGCCTCCCACTGCCTTCTTTCCTCTGTAGCACTTGGGCGGATGCTCTGGGGGCAGAGCAGCAGCGGAGATTAAGGGGCCAGGGAACCAACCGACTTGACGCGAGTTTTGACACTCTTCCACCGAATCTGACAGCAAACGCTGACTTACTTTGTGTTGACCGTGTACTTCTGAGGCAAAGGGTGACCCGAGTTCAGGTTTGGACAACAGTACAGGGGCCCAGTCTAAGTCAAAACTGGTTTATAATAGTTCCCATCATTTACAATATTTCCTGGTGAAGTGCTGACCTTCTGCTGGAGACCCCCCAAGCACGGCTTGGCCACCCAGTACTGAGCCCTGGCTTTCACAGCTCGCTCCAGAGCGAGGATACGCAACTCTTTTTTGCTAGGCTAAGCAGCTCTGATCTAGCAATGCTGCACAAGCACTTAGCGGGGAAGGCTGCGTAACTAATTCAGTCTAGGAAGAACACGCAAAAGGCAAAACCGACTCGGGACCTAAAAGGTACAACCCCACCACAAGAATCCCTTGCTGGCATTATAGCCCAAAATACAGAAATTAGTTTCATCAGCTGATTAAATATTAGAGCCAAAGGACAACTTTAGAGAATTTATGTTAACAAGAGAAATAAAATGCAGGTAAAGCTAAAAAGATGCTAATGGATTTTAGGGGCTGCTTTTCGACAGAAAATGTTAGGTGGAGGAGTGAAAGGGGAGAGACAGTTGTTCTGAAAAGGAATTACTTGACGGTCTTTGATTAAAAAAAACAAAGTTTCAGAAAAATTGAGTTTTGTTCACACAGAAAAATCTAGTATTGCACTACATCTACAAATAATGCAGAATTTACAACTCCCCCCCCTCCACTCCAGCCTTAAATCATCCTCCTACCTTGAAAATGCTGCTACATTATCGGCTAGCGTTTCCTGGTCATCTGCTCCGGATCGGTAATAATCATACACTGATTTAGGGAGGAATTTTTTAGCATACTCTTCAAAATCAGCAATGCAAACTGGTTTTCCAGACATGTTTGCAGATCTCACAGGGTTAGTTTATTCCTGCTTCCCTCTCTTTTAAGCTCTGTATTTTTGTCTGTAAATCATTAATACGGGACCTCATCAGGATTCGACTTACCCTCATACCAAAAAAAACCCCACCAACTGCTTGCGTCATATTGGACTTCAGCACCGCATTTTATTTCATGTGGTCAAGGCCAGCCTAGAACATAATGGAATAAAATATGGCAAAAAGATAGAAAATTAATCAGCAAGGAGAGAAATACGTAGGTACAGCAAGCATGACTTCAACCTGCACTAAGAGGAATGTACTGTCTCTCATGTATGCCTTTATCATCCAAAATATCCAGGAGACAAGCAAGATACTGTTTACGTCCAAAAAGCAAAATCCTGATTTAGATATTTATAAAAGCAGGTCCCAGCCTGGACTGGCATTTAGGACAACACCTAACACAAGCCAGTTTCCAGTTATTTCCATTAAAATCCTGGATACCGAGTTAAGTTGCAGGGACCCAGCTGCCAGGCAGCTCCACCATCTAATACGTCCTCAGGCAAACGGCTCCTGATTTTAAGGCAATTCCAGCTCCAAGTCCTAGAGAGAGCTAGTTATTCTTAAAACATTACAAAGTCAGATGCACTCACCAGCTGGAAATAAAACTAGCTTATCAACGAGATGACACTCATCCAAAGTGTAAAAGACTTGAATAAGATTTCTTGATTGAATCTTGACTTAATATTTAACAAATACACATCGTTTGCAACAGGTATACAGTATTTGTTTGACATGGAAAACTTACCAGTACATCATGTGTATATATAATTCAGTTTTCTGGCTGTGCACGTTTCAATTATTAACAATGCCATTTTATTAAAACCAGATTTTGAGGAGAAAGGAGAAATCGATACCTTAATTGGAAAGAAATCATAGTGCAAGATGTGGTAGACTGTACAGCATGCACCGCGCTCATCGCACACCTCTCTCTGGTGCAAGCAAACCAGAGAGCCTGTATTTTGCTCACTGTTCATTATTTGTGGTGCACTGAGAGGAAGAAATGCAATGCAACAGACGTACGGCCGTGCCTCACTCCCTTCAGTAATTTTGGGCTTTAAGTGACTTAATGTTCTCATTCTTCAGCAAGGCTGAAGAATTCAGATTACATCAAGCTAAATATACATATATCTCTCTGAGAACCATGGCCATCTTCCTTGCTGCTGGTTTATAAATAACAACTAGGAACACGATATTCTGCAAAGAGTGAGAAAAATGCTTAAGATTCAAAGGAGATTGTCAAATATCTTTGGAGGAATATCTCAGGGGCTGAGGCAGGACGGTGCCAGCTGTAAGCTCAGTCTCAGGAATCATGTAAAGAGAACGATGGCACTAAGAGATTTGCAGCTATTTCTCTAACTGCTTTCCCAGATGAGGGCATCTCAGATTAAATTGTACAGGGTGGATAGGGGGTCATTTTTATAGCTGGCCAGAATATTCATGGAAGGAATTACTGGAAATGAATATCAACATACATACAATTACACCACGAGGCATTTATCTCACATCAGTGTCAGATACAATTTAAATGCAAACTGGCTTAACATTGACATTTCTCCGCGCTCCCAGCACAAAACTGGGGACACGTCTGGTTTCGTTTATTTAAAGTTTGCATCGCCTGTGCTAAAACCAGGTATTTATCCTAGAGCATGAGAAAGTAAGCACTGCATGATAGCTAAACATTTTAATACGAGCAGCTGAATTCAGCCTTAATGAATTTAAAAGCTTTTAATGTTGGAAAGTTGCACAAAAATTGCTGAAGGTAACGATACTGTTTCACCACTGGTCTCCTCCCCGCCTTCTATAATGTCTACGTTCACTTAAAAAAAAAAAAAAAAAAAGAGTTAAGCTCTTCAAAACAGTTCCCACCTTGATCTTTCTCCCTCTCCAATTACATGTTCATTTGCCATATTCACACGATATCAGACTGTTTTTACTTTACTGGTGATTATTTGCCAATCAGGCTAAAAGTTCCTCTTCCCTCCCCTATCACGAAGTCGCTCACACGCCACCCTTTGCGGATCCTCCCAAATGTGCCGCCCACACGCCAAAGCCCGACCGGGGGCACTGACTCCTTGCTGCCGCCCAGCCAACGTGCCCTGGGAAGCTCCTCAGCCTACAAGCCCACCAGGAGCTGGGGACTCCTCTGTTCCAGCAGTAGCCCCCAGCCCCACCCCCCGCCACTGCTGGCCCGTTTGTGAGCTGGGGTGCGGTGGAAGGTGCCAATATCAGCACAAAGGAAGCAAAACAAGAAGTTTAATCCGCTGCTGAACTAGGACTACTTGGCCTCTTATGGGTGTAACCCCTAGGAGAGCGCAGCCAACGTCTCCCCAGCACATCTGACACCCACATACAGACCGGCTCTGACATGGCTTCTGACCAAGTAATTGGCTTCTCATTTTAATGAATCTCTCTGGATGAGAGGCTTCCTCTGGCTGCTTAATGAAACATCAGCTGTCTGAACTTTAACCTTGAAGCAAAAGAACAGCATCTGACTTAACAGCAAAGAGTTTGCCCAAGCAGCCACGGCAAACCTCACTCGGCTGCTTAATGAGACATCAGCTGTCTGAACTTTAACATTGAAGCAAAAGAACAGCAAAGAATTTGCCCAAGCAGCCACGGCAAACCTCACTGATAAAAGTCAACGTGCAATTCAATTGAAACATTCAGATGCGATTAGGGCATAGGAAAAAAAAAAACACAACCCAAACCAACACAATCAAGGTAGCATTAACATCCTCTCCCATATCTACTGCTTCTCACTTGTTCCTGTGGCAGGTCACTGGGGAATTACCAACAGAGAACATGTCACGTAACTGGAGCTCGGCTGAACCAGGCTCTGCAAAGGAAACTCTTTGCACTTCATTTCAAAAAAAGGGGCATCGCAAATTCCGGGAGAAAAAGCCAACGGAGGGCTATTAAACACAGAGATACAACTTCTAGCCTAGAAAGAGCTCCAATCAAAAGCCAAAAAAATGTTCTAAGAAATATCACGACATGCTTGTCCTTACCTATGTTATTTGCTAGAGAGAGGGAGATCTCTACACAGTATTTTAGTCCGAACCACTGTGTTCTACCACAGGATCAGAGAGACAACGCTGATGGTCTCCTGTCAACATGCAAAAACCTCCATAGGTGAAGGATGAGTCAGCTGGGATTTTCTCACTTCAGTTAACTGTAGTAAAAATTAACTGGGAAAGTTAACTGCAGTATATAATTAAAATATTTCAATATCCCCGCGATTACCTATTTCTCAAGACTGTTGTTCAAAGCTGTTTTATCAAGTAACTTTACTTATGTTTTGACTTCCAAATTCCCCATGAACATTTGTGAATTTCTCCAAAGAAAGTCAGAAAATACCTATTTACAGATTGGAAACACTATAAGGTTAAGTGTTTTCAGTGAGCCGCTCCCATCAATCCCAGCTGAACCAATTTACTTCAGCCCCTCCAAGTCAGTCAGAGGAATCAACAGAGAATATTTGTAACTTCAGCATGAGACCGAGTTGAAAACGACGGACCTCTTGCAGGGATGAGGACAGTTTATTGGCCATTCAGCATCAACAGTGAGCAGGTGGCCCCGACAAGCCCCAAAGCATCTATTTTGTGAGTCAGTTGGGAAGTCTGGGGACAGCTGGGGTGGAGGGAGACTGGAGGATCAAATGGAGGAACAGTTCTCCTGGCAGGATCCGGATGACCGAGTACAATGAAAACAATCCAGGGGAGATCTACAAAGAAGTTCTCGGCCCCATTTTTGGCCCCCCAACCACACAGCGATAACCACACATAAAAAGTGCCCTTATCAAGCATGATCTTTTCATGTCCTTGGTGTGGGACTGACGGTCAAACACTTTGAATGACCACCGTCATTTCTGCATCCTCTGCAACCACGTGAGCTACCAGCACAGCCTGTGCCAAGACGATCGGCAGCGCCTAGGTTCAGCTCTCACATCCTGCTGGAATTCAGATCTAAAAGTCTGAAGTACTAGTAGGCTCTGAGAAATTCTAACAAGCCAAGAAAAAAGGCCTTTCCGTACAAGAGGGAAATTTAAATGAAAATATTTCATTACTAAATCCCCCTTTGCTCCCTGTATGTTTAAATACAGAGCTTTCCTTTCTCCTCAGGAAGGACAAAGTGAAAGTAAAGCATACAGAGTTTTTAAAGTGTTTTTCTACTGGGAAAGAAATGAAGATGTTTGGTTAAAAGAAGTAGTCACCAGTCTTCATTAAAGTAAACCACAACACTTTTTATTCCTCTGTAGGGGAAGGAATGAAAGAAAGGTATCAACAGATTTGGTTCAGTGGCAAACAAATGAACTGCTGGTGCGTGATGGGTTAAGAGTGGAAGGATAAGCAGAAAATTGGAGAAAAGGCAGGCAGCTCCTGGGAAGAGCTGCAAAAGCATCACAAGGGACATGCACTGTTTCCTCCCGGGCAGCTCTTTACAGCCAAGCATCCTTCTGTTTTCTGTGTGGAGGAGGTAATACTCAGAAAGGGGAGAAGGAGGAGATCCATTTCCTTCCCACGACCACACTGCAGCCAAAAGACCTGCTGCAAAGCCATGCAGCTTTTCATTTTCAATGTGTGATCAGCTCCTAGGAGGAGGCACACACTACTCAGCAGCCCTGTTGCTGGAGCTGGGAGTTACCACTGGTCCAGGAAAAAATTCCAAGGTAGAAACTCAAGCTTTTCTACCACTTCAGTACAGCCACCAGAGAATTATCTTCATATTTCCTCTATAAAAATAGAGCTTATGTTTGTCTGATTGCTTAAACAAAGTAATTTTCAAAATCTGGTAAGATTTTGCCTGTAGTATTCCATCTGCCTGTTTTCATGGGGAAAATTTCTTATTCTCACATCATGAGACAGAACAGGAAGCAGCTGATTAAATAGTAGAACAACAAAATGCTCGCAAGGGCTTCATTTGATACCATTCCCCCTTCAACTTTACATCAGGAAATCAA